GATGACGTTATGGATTTAATATTAATGCGACGCGATAAAAAAAATTCATGTTACATACAACGAATTTCAGACCCTTTCGACTTCGAAATTTATAGCTTAGAGCAAATCGAAATTGTGAAATTTTACATAAAAGAAAATAAATGTTTGCCGATTCTATACTTTGATGTAACTGGTTCCATATTCAAAAAACAAAATTCAGTTAACAAGCGGCTTTATTATTATTGTGGGGTAATAAAAGTAAGAAATGACAGAATTGTACCTTTACTTGAAAGAGGTAGCTGCAAACATGATGCAAGTAGTATTGGTAGTTTTTTGGCCAACTATAGATCATTTATACAAAAGTATGGCGTTCGATGGCCTCTGTTTTCCATGGTGGTCACTGATTTTAGTTTTGCAATGATTAACGCAATTTTGTATTCTGGAATTATACCAGCATGAACACATACCTCAAAATATGCTATAATTTCGCCATAACAAACGACAAGTCTCTTCTAGACGGTTTAACAATTATAGAGATTTGTTGCTCACATTTTGTCAAAATTATGGTGAATGATATTAACAGTAATTTTAAAGATAAAAAAAACAAAAAAATTGTTGAAAGAAGTATTAGTTTCTTTAATAAATTTTACCGATCTAAATGCAATAAAATTATATTTTGAACAGTTATCAGTAATTCTGTGCTCTAGATTTAAAAATGAAAATTTTGAAGAAGCGTTTCAGAAAATTATTACACTTTGGGTATCAGACTCAGAACCGTTTGAGTTAACAAGTGACTTCCTAAGTGAAAATCAAGATATAACAAAACAAAATTTAACTCAGGATACAATATACAAAAACAGTCCTTTTTATATAGAAATGAAAAAATTAAAGATACTGTTTTAGCAATAACAGATGATACGGGCAGCGAAGAAAATTTATTTTTTAACATTAATTTTCTGGATTTAGTATTAAAAAAATATATGCCTTATATCCCGTTCTGGTCCGGTTTAATAATGTTGGGAAAAAAATAACAAGTTCAATAGACTTAGCAATGCAAATGTTGAAAACTGGAATAACGTTTTGAAACATGAACTGCTGAAAAGCAAAAGTAGTGTAAAAGCTAGTAGGGTTGTTAGACTATCACGTCAACATGTGATTTTTGTTCATAAGGAACTGAAATTTAATTTAAAGAAATCTAAACTTACAAAAATACTTCCCACGATTTGGGCACCGAAGAAAAATGGAAAAGAAAAAGAAAAAATAAATTTAATTATTTTAACGCAAAATGTCTAATAAATTTTAAAACACAAACTGTTGAAAAAGATGACATAACTGAAACTTACCAGCACAAAAATAAGAGCTATGAAATTATTGAAAAACCTAATAATTTTCCTACTATAATGAAAAATGGATTAGTTAATGACATAAACTACTACAAACCAATACTTACAGACAAAAAATTAAACTATACTGTAGCGAAATTCTCAAATTTGAGAGTAATCGCTAATGAAATAACAATTAACGATTATATCAGGTTGAACGCGTCAGATAACACCAATTCTGTAGAAAAATGGCTCACAAATTGGGTAATTGATATTGGGATGGGAATTATACTCCGAAATTCAGGTGTTGACAATATCACTCTTTTTACTTGCGATGAAGGTGGCATCGTTGTGTTCAAAACTGAAAATATTTCTCAAAGCCAAGAAATATTTCCACTTCGAATAAAACAGCTACCAGCTATAAAAGATGTAATTGTAATACCGACGCGTGTGAATGGAAATCACTGGACATTGGCTATTGTAAACATTCCCAATAGAGAATTTTATTATTTTAATCCCGTTAGAACGACTGTTAGTGATATTAGTGAAATGTTAAACAAATTTAAAACATTTTTGAAAGAATATAATTCTGTATCGAATAAAAAAATTCCCGTAACCAATTGGCATGCTAAGTTAGTGACAAATTATAAGAGGCAGCAAGATAGCTACAACTGTGGAATTATAATAATTCAATTATTCGAAAAATTTTTATTAAAAAAATCTTTTAAACACATGCTGTCCAAATCAGTATAGAAATGAAATGAAACGACTAATCATTAAAAATTCCGACAATATGTCTATATTGTGGGATTATAGAAAAAGAACAAACAATTAACAAGTTTGTTTTTTGTGACTGGTGTAATCGATTAGCACACTATGAATGCACGTATCCCCTTGGAAACGAAATAAGTTATTCTAAGTATCCCATGTCATACATCTGCGAATTGTGTAAAATATCAAATTATTATTGCAAGAGATAGTTTTCTTTTTTAGTTAAATATATTTATAAATGTTATAAATGTGCATATTGTACCAAAGGTAATTTTGTATTCTCTCTATAAATATTCTTTTTATTAAAAATGTTATTTATTAAATTAGTTTGACATTGTTGGTCTACTAACTTGGATATAGATTTCATAGTTTTTGTTATAAAGAATATAGTCAATCATGTATTATGTAATTCAATTTTGGTAATTTGATTAATACGTAAATAATTGTTGATTTCATTAAAATTAAAAAACAAATGTAAGTGTTACTCAGTCTAATATAATATATATTTGCTTAAGCTGTTATTAATTTTAACATTTTTGGTTTATTAACTGTGATATTATATTTTTATATTGTATATTTTCTAAATAAATATTTTGTGAATTTTTGTTGTAATTTTTGTTTTTAATTCATCATAAATTCTATAGATCTCTCACACTGAATTTCATCGTGGCACAAACACTGATAAGCGAATTACAGGTGTGCCCTATATGATATGTCCGTGCACACCCTCATCCCCTAAAATTTGAATTTTTTTTCAAACCATAATTCATCATAAATTCTAAAGATCTCACACACTGAATTTCATCGTGGCACAAACACTGATAAGCGAATTACAGGTGTGCCATATATATTGTGTGTCCGTGCACACCCTCATCCCCTAAAATTTGAATTTTTTTTTCAAACCATAATTCGTTATAAATTCTAAAGATCTCGCACACTGAATTTCATCGTGGCACAAACACTGATAAGCGAATTACAGGTGTGCCCTATATGGTATGTTCGTGCACACCCTCATCCCCTAAAATTTGAATTTTTACTTCCCGAGCGTAAGCAAAGGAAGTATTGTAATCGAGTCCGTCGGCCGACTCTCTACTTTTACGTTTTCTCGATCTTTCATGACCCCTAGAAGACGAAGAAATAGGTCTCCCATTTCCGTCTGTCTGTCCGTCTGTCCGTCCGTCTGTCCGTCTGCCGTCCCGGATTTTTATTAGACAGATAATCTCCGAAAGTACTCGACCGATTGTTGTGAAATTTTGTACTTATATTAAGAATATCATGTAGATGGTAAAACGCTAACCAAAATTTGTCTAATCATCCCCACCACTAATGCGATGACGTCACTTCAAAATTGTACATAGTAAATGGGTTTTCAATTGTATAAAATAACATAGTCCTACACATGTAGTTTACAACTCCAAATCGACTTTTCACCCGAAACGTCCAGATTTTTGGAAAAAAAATCAAAATTATAAAACAACATTTTGAAATTTATTTTTAATCTGCTAACCAGAATGCTTTGAAATGTTGCAGATGTTTTAAGGCTATAAAGAGCATCATAAATCTTTAGTCAAAAAATATTTGCTTATCCCCTCCAAAAACTTGATGACGTCAGCTCAAAGGTTTGTGGAATAAATCATATCTAAAATGTACAAAATATGATGAGTCTGTACTTGTGATCTATCACTCCATTCATATTTTTTGGATTTGCATATGCAGGGTGACTCAAAAAAATTAATGAAGGCGTGAATTTATTTTATCGATTTAATCAGGAATTACAAAACCGAATGCTTTGAAATCTTGGGAATATTTTAAAGTTATTATAAGCATGGTAAACTTTTGTTCAAAATGTATTTGTTCATCCCTCCTAAAAAATTGATAACGTCACCCTTAAATTTTGCTGAATAAATCCTATCTAAGATGCAAAAAATATGATGAGTTTGTACTTGTGATTTATCATTCCATTCATATTTTTTAGATTTTCTTAAGAGGTGGTTCAAAAAAATTAATGAAGTCAATTTATTTTATTGATTAAATTAAAGGCAACACTTATTATTAGTATTACACCCCAACCAACCCAATTTGGTAGACACAAAATTTGTTAAAGGAAAAACTCGGTTGAAACATAAGGGTAGCACGCTTATTTACATCGACTTTAACATTACAGACCTGCATTTGTTTTATGCGCTCACTTGGTTCCGCGAATGTGAAATAGACATGTTTATAATCAAGCAATTGTGAATTTCACCGTCAAGAATTAAAATAAAACCCAATGTTTTATATAATAAGCGGAAGTCGAAGCAATAAAACCGATGGTCGTTTTGTTTACAGTTTCTCTGTTTGACTCTCACGTATGCTGTTACGCCTGTCATCTTAAATTAAGAATGTTTATACATACACGATTTTCAGTTGCCTCTGATACGTATACGTGAGTAAATTGTTTCGTTATTTTATTGATTATTACAAATCAATATTCAAAACGACCCAATTCATTTTCCCGAAAATTTGAGAATATAATAATTTTATTCTTAGTATTACACTACATCTATCCCAACTGATATACGTGTCCTTGCAAAAATGTTGATGACGTCATCGCAATTTTTTTTTAAATTCCCACTACAAAAATGTAATGAGAAAAAAAAACACAATAGGCATGCAGTCGTCAAGTTTCCGACAGCGAGGGAAGTACTGTCTAAACTCTTTAGACCAATTTTTTTTCAAACCATAATTCGTTATAAATTCTAAAGATCTCGCACACTGAATTTCATCGTGGCACAAACACTGATAAGCGAATTACAGGTGTGCCCCATATGTATTTCTATGTGTGTGCCGCCTGCATGAAATTACGGTTCGTACTAAAATCGTTGCTGGTAAATCGTTGCTGTCTTCACACCGGTAAACAGTCCAACTTTGATTGATGTTCTTTGTCAGTTGAGGAATATCACCCGGCGCCACACTCGCATCAAACGCGATGCCGATCTCTCTCAGATCCTTTTCGGGCAGATTGACCCGGACGGGATGACCCATCGGGCCAAACGCGACACTCTGGACCACGTGGAGAGCGTCATGAAGGACGTCCAAGGCAAAATCTACAACCTGAAGTCGAACGCGTCTTTCATAGAGGAGCCCCCAAACCTGGCTACTAATATCATCTCGGAGACGTCTGCGGGGTGCGTCATCATGGACAAGGGTCAAGTCAACTGCTCCACGGTGATCTACCACGATAGAAAAACGTGGCGGCAATCGCGTCACCAAATCGACAACGAGATCTACCAGTTGAAACAAAAACTAGAGAAACTCAAGGAGATTAGAAGACACCTGAAGCACACCAAGCCTATCCAAGATCCAGCGGACGAAGTGGAAGACGGGTACAAGAATAAAACCGGACGGTTGGAATCCCCGGATTTGAATGACTTGAACGTGCGGCTGGAACAGGAGCTGGGGATGTCCACCGAGCAGTACCATGTTAATGTTACCAAGACCAAGAAGAAGAGGAAGAGGCTTCATGATGGGGACAGCCCGCGGGTGGTGAAGAGGCCGAGGCTGAGACCGGAGCTGGACATCGCAGATGAGGTGGACAGGCTGGAGATGACGACGAATGGGCCTTTCGTGAGTCATAGCAACCATCACAGGCACAATCATAGGTATCCTGGGACCACGGAAGGGGAGTTTTCGACGGTCGGTCCGTCGACACCAAGGCGCAGGACTACCACGCAGGTGACGGCGGCCACAACCACCACCCCCACCACTACGGTGTCGACGACAGTCGCAGCCACCACAACCACGAAAGTAAGTTAAGGCGACTCGCTAGAATAAGTGTACAATTTTTACGTTGTAGGCCCCGCCTCCCGACTCCGCCCTTCCCTACAACAACACGCGCTACAACAGCGACTACTGTCACTGCGAGTCGTCCGCCCCGCCCCGGCCTACCGAGCGCGACCGCGTCAAAGAAGCTAAGCGCCGCCTCAAGGAGGAGAAGCTGCGCCGCAAGCTGCGCAAACAACGCAAGAAGGACCAACTCGTAAAGGAGTGCGCTTCCGAACGCATGAACTGCTTCCACCACGACAAGGAGCACTGGAAGACGGCCCCCATGTGGACCGCCGGACCCTTCTGCTTCTGCATGAACGCCAACAACAACACCTACTCCTGCGTGCGCACCATCAACTCCACGCACAACTTCCTCTACTGCGAGTTCACCACGGGCTTGGTCACCTTCTACAATTTGCGGATCGACCCGTTCGAGCTGCAGAATCGGGTAGATCAGCTGAAACCCGAGGAGAAGTCGTTCTTGCACGACCAATTGAGGCAATTGATAGCGTGCAAGGGCCGCTCGTGTACGGTGAACCACAGCGCACACCACCATCATCCCGCGTCGAGGATTAGGGCCAACGCGCTGCCGTTGCACACGGCGGGGGCGCAGAGCAGGTTCAAGAAGAGGAAGCTGGTGGAGGAGTACGCACAAGGTGAGTCGAGTTTGGGGAACTGAGGCTTGTTTTTTGTTTCGTTACTAACAGAGTGGATTTTTTCCTGACTAATGTTGTTGTTAGGGGGCAGAGTGCTGCCGCTCACTCAGTCGGAGTTCGCTCCACGATTGGAGTACAGTCATGTCTCCAAAGCGCACAATAAGTGAGTAGTCTATAGTGGAGTGGCTATGCTTTGAGAGGAACGTAAAAGCGTTCTTCTCGTAGTATTTCTACTTTACGTGCATGGACCGTCTCTATTTGCAAAACTAGTAGTAGAACCATAGATTAATGTAGATGCGACGTAGAGGCTGATTTTGCAAAACCACCCTTATTGCCAACAAAAAAACTTGATTCACTACAACTCGTCGCCTGAGAACTTGTTTGATTTACAGACCAGAGCGCGCTTAGGCCAATGTCGACTCTAAGCGTTCAGAAGCGATTTTTGGTCGGTTTTTATAACGACTAAGTGAATATTTTTGGTACATATTTAGATGATTTTACATATTTTGTTTAACTAAGAATTAATTCTTTATTTGTGTTTTATACTAGCAAAACGTCTTAAATTAAGAATATTGTTGAAATCTTAATAACCCAATGGAATTTTTTTTCGGGAAAACGTTTTGGAAACATTGAAAAATCGAAATATCGGAGAACTGAAAATCGAAAAAATGTAAAATTTAAAAATCGAATAACGAAAAATCGAGACATCGAAACTCCCAAATTTAAAAAATCGGATAACTGAAAAATCGAAACATCGAAAAACTGAGAAGTCGAACAATTGAAAAACCGAAATAGGTCAAAATCGAAAAGTTAAAAATTGAACAATTTATAAATTGAGAAATTGACAATCAAAATATCGAAACATCCAAATCTCCATAAATCGAGAAATCAAAAAACTTAAAAATTCGAAAAATTGAAAAATTGAGAGATTGAAAGATCGAAAGAACGAGAAATCGAAAAGTGATGAAGTCGAAAAATCGAAAAATGGAGACATCGACAAACAAAAAGTTAAAACTTGAAAAATTGGAAAAGCTGAAAAATCAAAAAACGAAAAAATGGAAAACTGGAAAAATTGAGAAACCGAAATAGGCCAAAATAAAAAATTGAAAAAATGATAAATCGAAAACCTGAACAATCAAATCTCGATAAATCGGGAATGAAATATTAACAAATCGAAAAATTGAAAAACAGAACATCTAAAACCAGGAGGTCGAAAAATCGAAAGATTAAGAAATATTGAAAAATTCAAATATCAAAAGATTGAAAAATCTAAAATTTAAAAATCCAAAAATAAATAGAAAAGCCGAAGAATTGAAATATTGAAAAATCCTAAAAATGAAAAATCGAAAAATCAAAAAAGTGAAGTCGAAAAATAGAAACCTTAAAAAATGGAAAAATTGAAAAATCAAAAACCTGAAAAATCAAAAAATTGAAGAATTGAAGAACAGGACAATCGAAACACTCGAAGGTCAAGAAATGAGGAAATCAAAACATCGATTAATCGAAAAATCGAAAAATTGAGAGTTTATAAAAGTCAAATTTAAAAAATTAAAAAATCGAAAAATTGACAAAATGACAATTGAAAAACCGAAAATCTAAAACCGGGAAGTCGAAAAATCAAAAGATTAAGAAATCGAAACCTTTGAAAAATTCGAAAACTTGAAAAATTGAAATATCGAAGAACTGAAATGAAAAATCGAGAAATCGAAAAATCTAAAATTTTAAAAATTAAAAAATCTAAAATTTAAAAATCGAAAAATTGAAAAATCGAAAAAGTAAAAAAATTGACACATCGAAAAATCCAGGAGTCAAAAATCGAAACGTCGAAGAATCGAAATATTGAAAAATCCCAAAACTGAAAAACGAAAGAAAAACTGAAAAATGGAAAACTTGAAAACTCCGAAAACTAAAATATCCAAAAATTGAGAACCTAAAAAGTCGAAAAATTGAGCAATAGAAAAATCCAAAAAGTGAAATCGAAAAATTGAAACCTTAAAAAAATTAAAACATAAAAAATCAAAAACCTGAAAAATCGATAAATTAAAGAATTGAAGAACAGGAATATCGAAAGTCAAGAAATGGGAAAATCAAAACATCGATTAATTGAAAAATCGAAAAATTCACAGTTTATAAATGTCAAATTTGAAACATTGAAAAAACGACAATTGAAAAACAGAAAATCTAAAAATCAATTGATTAAGAAATCGAAAAATTTGAAAACTTGAAAAACTGAAATATCGAAGAACTGAAATGAAAAATCGAGAAATTGAAAAATCTGAAATTTTAAATACTGAAAAATTAAAATATCAAAAAACTGAAAAATCTAAAATTTAAAAATCGAAAAATTGAAAAAACGACAATTGAAAAACAGAAAATCTAAAACCGGGAAGTCGAAAAATCAATTGATTAAGAAATCAAAACATTTGAAAATTTCGAAAACTTGAAAAACTGAAATATCGAAGAACTGAAATGAAAATCGAGAAATCGAAAAATCTAAAATTTTAAATATTGAAAAATCTAAAATTTTAAAATCGAAAAATTGAAAAAACGACAATTAAAAAACAGAAAATCTAAAACCGGGAAGTCGAAAAATCAAAAGATTAAGAAATGGAAACATTTGAAAAATTGGAAAACTTGAAAAATTGAAATATCGAAGAACTGAAATAAAAATCTAGAAATCGAAAAATCTAAAATTTTAAAAATTAAAAAATCTAAAATTTAAAAATCCAAAAATTGAAAAATCGACACATCGAAAAATCCAGGAGTCAAAAATCGAAATCGAAGAATCGAAATATTGAAAAATCCCAAAACTAAAATATCGAAAAACTGACAAATGAAAGAAAAACTAAAAATGGGAAACTAAATCGGGAAATCAAAACATTGAAAAATCGAAAAATTTAAAACGACAATTGAAAACAGAAAATCTAAAACCGGGAAGTCGAAAAATCGAAAAAGTAAAAAAATCAACACATCGTAAACTCCAGAAGCCAAAAATCGAAAAGTCGAAGAATCAAAATATTGAAAAATCCCAAAACTGAAATATCGAAAAACTGAAAAATGAAAGAAAAACTGAAAAATGGAAAACCTGAAAACTCCGAAAACTAAAATAACCAAAAAGTGAAGTCGAAAAATTGAAACCTTGAAAAAATTAGAAAATAAAAAATCAAAAACCTGAAAAATCGAAAAATTAAAGAATTGAAGCAGAGGAATATCGAAACCTTCGAAAGTCAAAAAATGGGAAAATCAAAACATCGATTAATTGAAAAATCGAAAAATTGACAGTTTATAAATATCAAATTTGAAAAATTGAAAAATCGGAAATTTGAAAAAACGACAATTGAAAAACAGAAAATCTAAAACCGGGAAATCAAAAAATCGAAAGATTAAGAAATCGAAACATTTGAAAAATTGAAATATGGAAGAGCTGAAATGAAAAATCGAGAAATCCAAAAATCTAAAATTTTAAATATTGAAAAATTAAAATACCAAAAAATTGACAAATCTAAAATTTAAAAATCGAAAAAGTAAAAAGTCGACAGTTCCAAAAACCCAGAAGTCAAAAATGGAAAAGTCGAACAGAAATATTGAAAAATCCCAAAACTGCAATATCCAAAAACTGAGAACCTAAAAAGTCGAAAAATTGAGCAATAGAAAAATCCAAAAAGTGAAGTCGAAAAATTGAAACCTTAAAAAAATAAAAAATCAAAAACCTGAAAAATCGAAAAATTAAAGAATTGAAGAACAGGAATATCGAAACCCTCGAAAGTCAAGAAATGGGAAAATCAAAACATTGATTAATTGAAAAATCGAAAAATTGACAGTTTATAAATATCAAATTTGAAAAATTGAAAAATCGAAAATTTGAAAAAACGACAACTGAAAAACAGAAAATCTAAAACCGGGAAATCAAAAAATCGAAAGATTAAGAAATCGAAACATTTGAAAAATTGAAATATGGAAGAGCTGAAATGAAAAATCGAGAAATCCAAAAATCTAAAATTTAAAAATCGAAAAAGTAAAAAGTCGACACATCGAAAAATCCATAAGTCAAAAATGGAAAAGTCGAAGAACAGAAATATTGCAAAATCCCAAAACTGAAACATCGAAAAACTGAAAAATGAAAGAAAAACTGAAAAATGGAACACCTGAAAAATCCGAAAACTGAAATATCCAAAAACTGAACCTAAAATATCGAAAAATTGAGCAATAGAAAAATCCAAAAGGTGAAGTCGAAAAATTGAAACCTTAAAAAAAATAAAAAATCAAAAACCTAAAAAATCGAAAAATTAAAGAATTGAAGTACAGGAATATCGAAACCCTCGAAAGCCAAGAAATGGGAAAATCAAGACATCGATTAATTGAAAAATCGAAAAATTGACAGTTTATAAATCTCAAATTTAAAAAATTGAAAAATCGAAAATTTGAAAAAAGACAATTGAAAAACAGAAAATCTAAATAAATAAATAAATAAATAAATAAATAAATAAATAGTTTATTGATCATCCAACGGGCAAATCGCCCACATAGGACATAAAAATAACAAATAGTAAACTAACCCAAAAAAGCAAAAAAATTTAATATAATGCTAAAACCGGGAAGTCGAAAAATCGATTGATTAAGAAATCAAAACATTCGAAAAATTCGAAAACTTGAAAAACTGAAATATCGAAGAACTGAAATGAAAAATCGAGAAATCAAAAATCTAAAATTTTAAATATTGAAAAATCTAAAATTTTAAAATCGAAAATTTGAAAAAACGACAATTGAAAAACAGAAAATCTAAAACCGGGAAGTCGAAAAATCAAAAGATTAAGAAATCGAAACATTTGAAAAATTCGAAAACTTGAAAAATTTAAATATCGAAGAACTGAAATGAAAAATCGAGAAATGGAAAAATTGAAAAATCGACACATCGTAAAGTCCAGAAGCCAAAAATCGAAAAGTCGAAGAATCACAATATTGAAAAATCCAAAACTAAAATATCCAAAAACTGGACCTAAAAAGTCGAAAAATTGAGCAATAGAAAAATCCAAAATGTGAAGTGGAAAAATTGAAACCTTAAAAAAATAAAAAATTTAAAATCAAAAACCTGAAAAATCGAAAAATTAAAGAATTGAAGAACACGAATATCAAAACCCTCGAAAGTCCAGAACTGGGAAAATCAAAACATCGATTAATTGAAAAATCGAAAAATTGATAGTTTATAAATGTCAAATTTGAAAAATTGAAAAATCAAAAATTTTAAAAAACGACAATTGAAAAACAGAAAATCTAAAACCGGGAAATCGAAAAATCAATTGATTAAGAAATCAAAACATTGGAAAAATTCGAAAACTTGAAAAACTGAAATATCGAGGAACTGAAATGAAAAATCGATAAATCGAAAAATCTAAAATTTTAAATATTGAAAAATCTAAAATTTTAAAATCGAAAAATTGAAAAAACGACAATTGAAAAACAGAAAATCTAAAACCGGGAAGTCTAAAAATGAAAAGATTAAGAAATCGAAACATTTGAAAAATTCGAAAACTTGAAAAATTTAAATATCGAAGAACTGAAATGAAAAATCGAGAAATCGAAAAATCTAAAATTTTAAAAATTAAAAAATCTAAAATTTAAAAATTGAATAATTGAAAAATCGACACATCGGAAAATCCAGGAGTCAAAAATCGAAAAGTCGAAGAATTGAAATATTGAAAAATTCCAAAACTAAACTATCGAAAAACTAAAAAATGAAAAACTAAAAATGGGAAACTAAATCGGGAAATCAAAACATTGAAAAATCAAAAAATTTAAAACGACAATTGAAAACAGAAAATCTAAAACCGGGAAGTCGAAAAATCAATTGATTAAGAAATCAAAACATTTGAAAAATCGAGAAATCGAAATATCTAAAATTTTAAATATTGAAAAATTGAAAAAACGACAATTGAAAAACGGAAAATCTGAAACCGGGAAGTCGAAAAATCGAAAGATTAAGAAATCGAAACATTTGAAAATTTGAAATATGTAAGAGCTGAAATGAAAAATCGAGAAATCGAAAAATCTAAAATTTTAAATATTGAAAAATTAAAATACTAAAAAATTGAGAAATCTAAAATTTAAAAATCGAAAAAGTAAAATGTCGACAGTTCCAAAAATTCAGAAGTCAAAAATGGAAAAGTCGAAGAACAGAAATATTGAAAAATCCTAAAACTGAACTATCTAAAAACTGAAAAATCGAAAAATCAAAAAAGTGAAGTCGGTAAATAGAAACCTTAAAAAATCGAAAAATTGAAAAATCAAAAAATTAAAGAATTGAAGAACAGGAAAATGAAAACACTCAAAGATCAAGAAATGGGAAAATCAAAACATCGATTAATTGAAAAATCGAAAAATTAACAGTTTATAAATTAATGTCAAATTTGAGAAATTGAAAAACAGAAAATCTAAAATCGGGAAGTCGAAAAATCAAAATATTAAGAAATCGGAACATTTGAAAATTGAAATATGGAAGAGCTGAAATGAAAAATCGAGAAATCCAAAATTCTAAAATTTAAAAATCGAAAAAGTAAAAAGTCAACACATCGAAAAATCCATAAGTCAAAAATGGAAAAGTCGAAGAACAGAAATATTGAAAAATCCCAAAACTGAAATATCGAAAAACTGAAAAATGAAAGAAAAGCTGACGAATCAAAAAACTGAGAATCTAAATAAATCAAAAAAGTGAAGTCGAAATATCGAAGCCTGAAAAAATGGAAAAATTGAAAAACTAAAAAACCTAAAAAATCAATTAAGTGAAAAATCGACAAATAAAGAGTTTATAAAAGTCAAAAACTGAAAAATCGAAATATTTAAAAATCGTAAAATTGAAGAGAAAAACTGAAAACCGAGAAATTGAAAAATTGTAAAATCCAAAAATTGAATAATAAATAGGAGTAAACTGAAAAGTCCTCAAACTAAAATTTCGAAAAACTGAAAATTCGAAAGGAAAGTTGAAACAGTAGAAATTATGGTCGAAACCGGTTAGGATGTGCATCATGTGCACGGATCATGGCTTATAAATCAAATCGTTTCGTCTTAGAGTCGACATTGGCTTGAGTGCGCTCTGGTCTGTAGATCAAACAAGTTCTCAGACGACGAACTGTAATTCATGTGACCTGAATTAAAGTGAAGGAAACAGTAAGCAGCTTGTAATATTCTGGTAAATCTAGTGTCAATTTGTCGAAAGTAAAAAAATTTTATTCCTAGTTAGAAACAAACACTGTTGCCAACATAAGTCGAGGAGTCCTCAACCGTCATTTAATTTAAACTATGACGCTTCTCTATGTTCTCTGGTAGAACTGTCACGTGCTTAACCAAAATGGACGAATCGTGAAACAAAATGGCGGAATGTGTTAATCTGTGTACGGTTTTCGTGTGGTACTTTTGTTATTTTGTGGTGTATTTTTCAGGACGTGGCGCCGCAGGAACCCATGGAAGTACCCCTGGCGTCAGAATAAGTACGAGAGGCAGAAACAGCACAGCTATGATGGGGATTTTAAGGCAAACTGGCATTAAAAGAAGAAGAAGGAAAACGTGAAAAGTACCAATAAAATAATCGACTGAATAAAACTCTATCATTTAATGATGCATTTATTGTGATCTCTAATTTATGTTTCGTTTTTAAATTAATTAGTAAACAATAGGACGTAAGCTTATGCTTTATATGTAATTGTGTAAATTATGTAGGGAGGTAATGTTAGGTACTTGTAATACTTCCACTAAACGAACTAGCAATATTTCCTTGTTTCCTGTATAAAAAAATCGTTGAAACGATGGAACGAAGGGCAATAAGTTATTTTTATAACGTGTTACCTTTTGTTGTTATTCTCGACATGCATCTTCTGTCTAGTCCAAATCGTTTTGTATATAATTCTTGTATTATTATAACCTGCTTGGTACAATTATTTTAATTTTAAACATGTGCATAACAAGGAGGTCAAATAAAACGTAATTAACGACACTTTTTTATTGTTGAAATCTTATTTTACAACGTTAAAACCGCGTCAAGATTATTTGTGTCATCCTCGAAAATATTCTCACTAATTTTACTACAATCGTTGTCATTCTTAACATCGTTAGCCGCAATCAGTGGTTCATCTGTGTGGATAAACAGCCCCCATTTACTGCTCGCTTCCCTAATACTATCCCTAGATTCAGCTCCCTTCGGAAGACAGTGTCCACCCACAATTTTATCATCGCCATCGTCAAGATATTGCGCCCACTTACTCGTTTTTGCTACAGAAGCCTGCGACACTTTCGCTACCAGGGGAAAATCGTCGCTAATGGGGGCGCAAACTTCTGCTTTCGGTTGGGTTAATCTTTGCTCGTTTAATGATTGTACAAGCAACCTACACTCTTTTCCTGTACCTTTGGCGTAAACCTGTGCAATTTGGCGTACTATTGAGTTCGCTTTACAAAAAAAACGAACTTACCTTCTTTAAAGATTGTTTTTCGCCGCACATTTTGCAGCCCCATTTTGCCACTTTCTTGACAATGTCTACCTAGAAAATTAGTGTAAATGTGCGTTTTTTGTTTATTTTTGGTCTTACCTGGTAGGTTTCGCAATTAAAACACTGCAAAACGTGAAATTCTTGCGGCATTTTCAAAGTTCGTCGGTTTTAGGAATTTGACAGTTGACAGTTGGGGTGCCAGTGCCGCCACTACGAGCAGTAGAACATGAACAAATTCAAGTTTTTAATTGTTTCTGTATGTTTTAAATTATTTTTAGTTTGGTTTTGCTTCCATTGTGCAAATTTAATTGATATTTGATATTCTATACGTGTGTTTTTTTAGTTTCGTCATACCAACCTTGAGCATATTATTCCCCTGACTTTAGGTATGCAACCAAGCATACATTTTGCACAGATTGTAATAACTTTCTAGAGTTTGTCAATAAAATGATAATCGTAATGATTCATGGATTCAGATTATGACTTTTTAAAGTAGTAAAAATATTTGCAGACCTATTATTCGTCCTGAATCACTCCATACTCTACAAATAAAAATGTTGAACAGATTGTCAAAATTAAAACTTAATTATTACTAAGACTCGGCTTTTCTTGGACATAAGAACATTTATTATTATAAATATCTTGATTAAATTTTTGTAAATATAAATTGTAATGCGAGATAGAACTTGTGGTGCCCAAATTTGAATCAAAATTTCGCGCTTTTAATTTGAATAAAAAAATTAATTAAGAAAATCGTTACTGATTATAACAGAATTTAAGAGTCAGGAGATTGTCCAGATAAAGCACTTGTAGAAGATTTCATGAGATTCAATTATTCAGGACTCATCCTTTTGTTTATCCAGCTATAAATAAATAAGGTTTCTACAAAACACTTTTGAATTACTCACACAAGATTGCTAACGACAGTTAAATTAACCTAACGTTTTTCTACTCTGGGAAAAAGGACTGTGGAAAGTGCGGTAGAATTCATAATATCGTGAACCGAGGGATCAGGGGTTTAAATTTTTTCTTAGGTAGTTATCATCCGAATATCACCGAAATCGTGATAATTTAACATCATGTAATTTTTTTGTTTAAATCGTTGATAAAGTGTGGCATAATTTAACACAATGTAAATTCTTAGTTTGAGCATAATTTAGTTTTGTTCGTTTTTCTCCCTTACAGTTATAATACTCAGTTTTCATTTGACATCGCCTTATTTGCGGGGATGGAAGTAGGCCGCAGTCTGTCGATTTTGCTCTCTTGTTGACTGCCATAATTTCAAATTTGCCGCCACACATCCGTAATAACTTGTGCATTTGCATCCAGTTACTTTAATTCTAGGAAAATAAAGGGCGGGGCTAGTACTTGCTAAGATAAAAGTGATATCCCCAAATGGCATACACCCGAAAAAATAAAGGGTGGGTGGGCGGGGCCAATACTTGCCAGGATAAGACTCACTTTGGCCAATAAAAAAAGATAAGCCCCATCCCGATCTCACTTCTTAATCGTGATGAATTTTCCATTCGTTGCCAGACTGAGGGGCGGAGCGTAATTACAAAATCCATATTTCCTGTTTTAAACACGTTTTCAGTTTTCTGTTGCGAAAAGAAATTTACGAACAAGGAAAAAAGGCAAAATATTTTGGCTCAAATGTAGACTTCTTTTCGCGAATTTCTAATTTATTATTAATAAATATTAGTGAAAATGTGTTGTGTTAGTACTGTGAATACGAACGAAAGTGGATATTTTTCCGAAAAGGACCGAAAACAGAGTAAGTAAGATTTCAGTTTTAATTTATCAGGTTCCGTGATTCGTTTCCTCGACAAAGTTTAAATTTTGGGGAAATTTTCGAAACGATTGAAGTTGGTCGAGCAAAGCTATACATTTTCACGATATAATTAAATAATATTTAAACATAATTAATATTATTTATAATGTTTAAATACGATAAGTATTAATATATGATAATTAAATCGAACACCGTTTTCTTCAAAACGCAAAGTTATTAAAAACAAAGCAGTTTGTTTAAATATTATTAAATTAACCCCGAAAATGTGCAATTTCCCGACCAAAATAAGAAAGAGAATTTTTGCAATTTCATCGTGACGTACGATGACGTCACTGTCAGGTGAGCTACCTGTTCAAAGGTCGCATTTTTCGGCCCCTTGTATTCAGTTTAGATTTCGGTCTGATGGCAGCAACATCGGAACTCCGGTTTGGCTTAAAAGTAGGGCAAGTAGTAGGCTAGTACTTGCTAAGGTAAGACTGATTTTGGTAGATGACATACTCCCTAAGAAAACAGAGGGTGGGTGGGTGGGGTTAGTACCTGTTAAGTAAGATAAGACTGATTTTGGCAAATGACGTACCCTCAAAGGAAATAGAGGGAGGACGGGTGGATGGGCACTTTTGACTTGTTTTAAATCTTAGATTCTTCTGCTTGTCAAAATAGAATTCAATTTCCAGTGCACAGAAAATAAAATAAGTCAGTCAAATAGAGAGAAAAGGTGGGCGGAGCTGAGTTTAACTATTTTCTTAAGAGTCTTGTAAGCAAGTAATAGCCCCGCCCACTGACTTCCCCTTCATTCCAGTGACTACACTTATTACTTTGCAGTTATGTCTTAGCAAATACTAGCCCCACCCACCCGCCCTCTATCTTCTTAGACTGTAAGTGATTTGCCAAAATTAATCTTATCTTAGCATGTACCAGGCCCACCCACCCGCCCTCTCTTTCTTAGAGGATATATCATTTGCCGAAATCAGTTTTGTCTTAGCAAATACTGAGAAAAAAAGAAAAATGGAAAAAACGCAGTTCGAAAAATTGAAGACGTTAAAAATTGAAAAATCGAAAAGTGAATAATTAAAAATGGAAAATTTGTGAAAAAATAGTTATTAAAAACTTCACGTCATCGCTGTCAATCGACTTAAGATGTTAATTTGTAAACCATCGGTTCCGTGGTGACTTAATTTTTGTGTACTACTAAGAATTTTAAAAATTAATTTTATGAAGGACTTTGACAATTTTTGAGACACTAAATTTCTAAAAAAAAAACACAATGTGACATAAAACCACAAAAGTTCGACTCTTTTTCTCAAAAATCATGAATTATTAAAAATTCTTCATTATTTAAAATTAAGAAAAAACAAGTAAGAAGTAGATTATAACATATGATCGAAAGAAATTCTTCTAGTAGACCATGAATTTTCTTTTTATAATAATGATTTTGGCAACACCGACAGAGTCTTTCCTTAGTTTGACAGTTACGGTCAAATAACTGTTAAATAAAGCGTCAAATAGTCTTATTATTGTGGAATCTTACCTTAGCAAATACTAGCCCCGCCCACCCGCCTTCAATTTTCTTAGAGTGTATCTCATTTGCCAAAATTAGTCATACTAGACCCGCCCACCCACTCTCTCTTTCCTCAGAGGATGTGTCATTTGCCAAATTCAGTTTTATCTTGGCAAATACTAACAAAAAAAAGAAGAATTAAAAAAATGCACCACTTTTGACTTTGTTTCAAATTTTAGATTCTACCACTTGTCAATATAGAATTCAATTCCCTCTGTACAGTAAATATAATAAGTCAGAGAAGTAGAGAAAAAAGGTGGGCGGAGTTGAGTATAGCTTTTTTCTTAAGAGTCTTGTAAGCAAGTGGTAGCCCCGCCCACTGTCTCCCTCTTCTTTCCAGTGACTATTCTTATTATTGTGCAGTCTTATCTTAGCAAATATTAGCCCCGCCCAACCGCCCGCTATTTTCTTAGAGTGTATGTCATTTGCCAAAATTACTCTTATCTTGGCATGTATTAGGCCCGCCCACCCGCCCTCTCTTTTCTCAAAGAATATTTCCTTTGCCAAAATCAGTTTTATATTAGCAAATACTAACCGAAAAAATGAAACTTTGAAAAATCGAAAAGTGAAATTAAAAATGGAAAACTCGTGAAATTCTTTCTTCAGAGCCAATAAGAATGAATGATCAAAATGGAATAGGGGTGGGTGAGAGGGGCCATTTTTTACTTAGTTTTAAATCATAGATTCATTGTTTGTCAAAATAGAATTTAATTTCCATTTTTAAAAAATTTTATAGCGAGCAATAAATTTTTGATCTTTAAAGTAAAATTTTGACTTCTCTGAAGACTGTTTTCACCGACTTGGCAAAAGTAATTTTAATTTCAAAGATCAAAAAATAAAAAATGTGCGTCCTTTGTAAATTTAAACAAATCAAATTTGGATATTTTTGACGGATCTGACGAATTTATAATTTATTATTAATAAATATTAGTGAAAATGTGTTGTGTTAGTACTGTGAACACGAACGAAAGTGGATATTTTTCCGAAAAGGACCGAAAACGGGAAAGTACGACTTCAGGTTTCATTTATCCAGTTCCGTGATTCGTTTACTCGACAATGTTTAAATTTTGGAAAAAATTTCGAAACGGTTGAAGTTGATCGGCCAAAGCTATACATTTTCACGATATAATTAAATAAAATTTAGACATAATTAATATTATTTATAATGCTCAAACATGGTAACTATTAATATATGATAATCAAACCGAAAACAGATTTACTAAAAACACGATAGTATTTAAAACAAAGCAATTTGTTTAATTATTGTTAAGTTAATCCTGAAAATGTCGATTTCCCGGCCAAAGAATGAAAAATAATGTTTGCAATCTCACCGTGACGTGCGATGACGTTACTGTCACGTGAGCTACCTGTCCAAAGGTCACGTTTTGCGGTCTTTTGTGTTTAGTTTTAATTTCTGTTTGCTGGTGACAAGATCGTCGCGTCCTTTTGGCGTAAAAGTAGAGCAATTTCGCGAATTTCTAATTTATTATTAATAAATATTAGTGAAAATATGTTGTGTTGGTACTGTGAACACGAACGAAGGTGGATATTTTTCCGAAAAGGACCGAAAACAGGGTAAGTACGACTTCAGTTTTAATTTATCGGGTTCCGTGATTCATTTCCTCGACAAAGTTTAAATTTTGGGGAAATTTTCAAAACGATTGAAGTTGGTCGATCAAAGCTATAAATTTTCACGATATAATTAAATAATATTTAAATATACATTAATATTATTTATAATGTTTAAATACGATAAGTATTAATATATGATAATTAAATCGAATACCGTTTTCTTCAAAACGCAAAGTTATTAAAAACAAAACAATTTGTTTAAATATTA